GCTAAAATCAAGTCTGCTTTTACCCTTCTGTAAAAAAGACTCTTGAGGTTCAACTCGCGCAGGCAAACTTTATATGGGGGTAGACCCTGCGGATAGCTTGGTTCCGGAAAGACTCGGTAGTAGAGTACTCTGGTAAACGAAGGTAACTCTGGTGCACACTTTCAATTTTGTTTTGGATCGATAAGGACTCCATACAGGGCCGCAGTGGCAACACGAACATTTTGAAAAGTTTGATCCAAAGAAAAGGATCAGAACTCGAAACATTTCTAAAAAGACAGTGCAAAATCCTCAAGCCCTTGGCCGCCACCGCGTCAATATGGCTCTCAAAGTTCAAACCATTGGCAACTAGCACGCCAAGATCACGAACTTCCCTGCTCACTAACATATCACCTAGAATTCGAAGCGGCCAGAACAGACAAACTGCATACCATTAGCTGCAGCAAAGAACGCTGACTCTAAACCTGCCTTCCTTATCCGCTAAACACTTTTGTTGATAAAGCTATAGGCGACTACTATTTTTGAGCTTTCAAAAAGTTCGTTCTAATGAAATCGAGAGCATGTAATAGTCAATTGTAACAGGTTCTGACGTTATCGAGATTTATTGGGTTTTTATGGTATTCAAGTATGAACTATGGCGCGAATGTTACAGCATTGATTATCATGAATGTTGAGCTCTTAAAAATGGAATATATTTATCGACTATTACGAGTGTATGCACATGTCTTTTTCATCTTTAATATGCTATACTAAAGCAAAATTTGATGAAACGCAAGTATAATGAGATACTCTGAAAGGTTATTTGAAATAGTCTTCCGTTTTCTTTTAGGATACATTTTTGGAGTAAAATTCAAACTATAAAGTATTTTAATAATTGTTTTTAACACATCGTTTTTATGTTCCGAACCCCAATTATAGCGCGGGGATATCTTTGATCTGTGTAACTTGCAGTCTGCGGCACAAACTTCTCCTCCAAACTATTCAGTACCATGAGCACACGATGTTTATGAGTTCTTTCTTGCTACTTTTTTGGTGTAAGTATGAGTATATTGGTGTGCCAAAGGATTCCATAGATATGAACTCATTTATTTTGCGATTAACTCAAATTACTACGGTTTAGCGCTGTCTGATGTTTCTACCTAGTTGTTTTAAAGACCTCTTTTATAGAAAATGAGGGTCTTTTCAGAAGATGCTGAATACTTTCACTTTGCTTTGTTTCTTTCATGCTCCATGCTCTACAGCTTGGTTATCATCCATCACTAGTTCTCTGAGGTCTGCAATTATTTTGTTCAATCTCAGCTTTAGCTTTTCTCTTGGCCTCTTTCCTTCTTACATACATTGCCAATTTAGCAGCGGTCCTGTTCTTCCTCTATGTAGTCCCATCAAGGCTTGTATGCATCAACATCTCTGCGGTGAGGGAAGCGGCGTTCCTTGTTAGATGAGCAACAAGCAAACGCCGCTGCGGCTTATTCATTGTTGGGAACGCCGTTCTCCTTGCCGTAGGGATGTCCATGCGTGCGGAACCAAATGATTTTTGTGGCCCCATTGACGATTGGGCGACTTTTATTGTGGGTCTTATTGTGTCATTGATGACATGGCCCGCCATTGTAACGCATATGGGGATCAAAATTCTGTCATGAGACTCCAAACATGCAAATTTGGGTAATAAGAGGTACTTTTTTCAAACATTCAGAAGGATATTTGACTAGGACTAATAAAAACTGTTTCATTCAGAAAACATTTTTGTATAGCAGCACGTAAGACAATCAGCCAAAAGCATAAGCGCATCCGATGCAAGTCCTCTAAGATTTGCGCGTTAAAAGGATCTACACAATTTTTGCTTGCAGAGATGGGTTCATATCTCAACTTTTTTCAAAGTCATAAACATGTTTGGTAATGCACATCTGCAAATAACTGAGTTTTACAACATTTTGTTGAAAAGTCTTCTTTTGCTGCGAAGGAGCCAAAGAAGCTTTTTCGAATAAGTACGCACATTCCCGGCAACTCGACTCCACTGACTACACGAAAAAACTACAGGGCTTTTATGAATATTTCCTGACAAAGTGTTACTGTTTCGAAAAATGGTACCTGAAAACCAACTCTCAGCTTACTTGCTGCCCAATCTATCAACAGCTTTTTCAGGAAATGTAGTGGTAGATGATTCTATCTCAGAACATGATTATTAACAATATCCTTGGCTGAGCAGTGTAATGCTTGAACATTGTAAAAAGTAATCTTTTCAAATTGACCGAGTAATTGGCTTTGCTGCACTCCTTTAAAAAAAGTCGAGAATCCCCGATGAGACACTGTGAAGTACCATAGATGTAATGTAGCTTCTCAAGTCTCACAGTCCCGAAAACGTTTGCCGTATTGGTTTTTTGCAATTAGACATGTGTAAAGGAACTTTCCGCTGTACGGCCTCTTTGAACACTGCACGTGACACTTCGTTTAACGGCTTTCGGCTTTGGGGCGTAACTTGCAAACCGCTGTTCAATATCAAAACGGATACATTATCACATTCAATGACAATGTCAATGACAGTCAATGTCGGCTCAAGTGATCATTACATTTCTAACGTTCCTGATGTCACTCAAGCAATTGACAGGCAAATCTGATTCTTTTCCAATTACTTACGATAGCAGGCAGTTCCAGTGAGCGCTGAAAGGATATTACGTACACAGAAGTGCTTTGATGACGTGTTGTGCATAATGGTTATTTACTAACTTGAAATCTTTGCGACCTAACAGTCTGGTATTCACTGTTGCGAAAATGTGAAAATCGAGGTGCAACCTAGTTAATTTTACCGTTGCACTAGATTTAAACTTATGCTCCAGCGTTGGAAGTCGTGTACGCGCACGGATTCTGGAGTAGCGGAGAAAGCGCGTTGCTCTTCTCCTTTTATTAGAACAAATTACAATTGTTTTCAGCGATGACAAGCGAGGTTCAATTTGTCCGAGAAAACCATCAACTTTATTGCATGCTGCTGACCATTGTTTTCGTCAGTTTCGATAAACCATCTCCAAAGCAGTTGACTTAATAAATTGTCAAAGTTGTGCGCCATTAGATTGCTTTTTGCTTTTGATTTATTCTTCTAATTAACTGTATCCGGTATTCGTTAGATGATTAATGTGGCAAGCAACTGGTGTGATTTTCAAAAACAAACCCAGTCACATTTTCTCAGTCACACGTTTTCTGTCGGTAATAAACTTGTATCATGAGCCTTGCGGCAGTCAAAGATGGAGTGATTGTCTAGGTATGTTTTGCATAAACACCAATGTTACTCCGTCTTAACGTGAAGCTTGGATCACTCATTAGAGAAGGGTAGCATTATAAAAACTTTGATTTCGCAAGAGGTTTGATTCTTATCGTTAAGTCGAAGAAAGAACCGTAAAATGGTGGCATGTTTGTGGAGATTTTTTTTCATATACGTCAAAGGTCAGACTTCCGCTAAATTCTACAAACCTCAAATTTCCTTTATTGCGCACATCACTTCTTCGTGGGCTAGAAATGAAGGAGACAAAAGGCAAACTTTGGCCAGAACAACTCATCTAATTCCTTCTCATCTCTAAATGAGTAGAAACTGTGAGAAGCACAGCAATACACTTTGATTCCTGTTCAACTCCTCTTTACCAAGGTATACAAATTTAGCATGATGACTTAAAAAGGTTAAATTTTCATCGTTTTGCTTCATTGCTTTTTCCCATTATTATGGCTTCAGGTTAACGTGAATATTTATGTGAAAGCTTGAAAACCATTTTGTGAACTTGCTGTACTTTATTAAATATAGCCAATTCTCACCAAAAATTAAAATATTTTGTAGGTGGAAGTTGGAATAAAATAACTTTACAGCTTTGCTACTTTATTCAGTAGGAATGGCGAGATAGTTCTATAATACTTTATACCTTATTTGGTAACTTTTATCATTCTTTCAGTAAGTCTTGGCTGATGGTAATTTTTAACAGCGCGAAAGAAACCTTAATCAATGTTCATCTGTCATAACTCAACTTTGTACCCTGAACGGTGTCGTGCCAAATTTTAAACGTTTTATTATTAATTTAAGGAACAACAAAACTCACTGTCTCATCCTGGCTCACGTCATCTAACACCGACTTTCTCAGTGCGAGGGTGTTGATTGCTTCCACAAGTATCGTGATAAACACCAATTACCTGCACATAATAAGTATGCATGGCTAGTCCGTAAAAGCGATGAATTTAGCGGCAGGCGAGATCAGTGAGTAATATATCTTCTCGAACCTTGAAATTTGGCAAGGTATGCTTGTTTTGCGGCTTTTCACAGATATACTAGAAGTTCTGATAATTCTCTTACAGTATGTGTCGAGCATCTTACTGTAGCTTGATAATCCTTATACCCTTTGGTTTGACCGTCAACCCATTTAATGTATAAAGAATTGGGGAGGGGGGGGGGGGGGGAAGCACAAATGCCATAAGTTTATCTCTGAAATGTTGTAAGCATCATCACAATATAAATCTTTAGCCAACAGCACCTGGACTCCCAAAACTCAAGTAAAGAAGCTTTAGAAATGACGATGTTTGCTCCGTTTTTAAGACTCATAAGGTTGAAATAGTTATGGCGCCGAAGTATGGCACTGATTACAATTTGCGTGTCCATGATAATTGGTAGTTGTATGAGCTCTTTATAACTTCACAGCTTTTTATCTCAAAGTCCATTTGCTTCTTTGAATGTTCATAGACCACGTAGCTCTTTTTAAGGAAACAGCAGTTGATTTTTGCTTACTTATCTCACTAAAGATTGCAGAAGAAAGCTGACAGGTATTTTTTGTAGAAAATCTTTAAGAAGCAATAGTGTAAGACTTGCTTGCAGTGGATATGATTTGTTACGCATTCGCTCTCCTATCTCACGCTCTAATTATTAATCTTGTTATTGTCTAGTGTTTCCAAGATGAGAGCAACATGCTCTATGCAATGTTTCTCATGATTATTTATTGTTTGCTTACTGTCCAGATTACGTGCGTCTACCAAATTCTCTTTTGGATACTGTGGATACTGTAATCATTATAATTTTGAGACTCTGGCGATGGTGGCCAACTCAAAAAGTAATAACGCTTCTGTATTAGTAGCTGATACGATGGACGAATTTGATTTGGATACTATGAACTACGCCTTATTCTCTCTAGAAACTCTAACAAATGTTTTATTTATTTTCGTAGTTGGGGTGCTTTTCTACGTATGCATTTATCAAAAAAGTTTGCATGCCAATTTCAGGTGAGGCTTGACCCCCCCCCACGCCTTCAACAGATTTTGTAACAGCGTAGCTGTTAGTGTAGCTTAGCTTGTCCCATGCTTCCTAGAGAAACTCACATGTTTGTTTATCCAGCTAATAAGCCAAATTTCAGGGCAACACTTTTTCTAGCCGCTTGCGGTCATCTCGGAGGATCTGTGCATAGGATAATTTTGGTGTCTATACGAATAGTCTCGATTGGCAAGCGAGACACTCCTATAGTTGTCAGTTTCAACTATCTAAACAATAAGATGTTTTCAATTCTTTTTTTTTCAAGGGACAACTTTACTTGCTGCAGATAACAGCACTATACATAGCCATGTTTGGCTGGCAGTTTGTCATTGTTGAACGGGCTATTGCCACAGTGTATTCTAGCAAGTACGAGAAACATTTTGCTGGGTTTGGTGTGCCAACCATACTGTGTGGTATAGTGGTAAGTGTACCTTCCCCATGGTATTATTGTATTGAAAACGGTTCATTCAGCTTACCATGTCTGCGCTATTTTTGTGCATATCTATATTTCACCTATGTAAGTTTTTCTGTGAAACTTTTTGATCTACGACTTTGGTTTTCAAATGCTGCCACTTCCTTTCCAAATGCACTGTCATGAACAAAGTCTGCGAACGGGTTATCTCAAAACTGCGCTGTTTTCTTCCTTTGCTCAACGTGGACATTGCCGACCATCGCGATCAGATTTTCTTTCAAAGCTAATAGTTGCAAATGGACTCTAGTTTTGTAGAACGAAGATTCTAAAGCGAGCATACGATGATATAATGAATGCGAAGAAGCGGACCTCAAAGTTGCAAAGAGAATATTTGTGTTTCTGGACATTAAAATTGTGTAATCATTCTCTGTTCTCTCATTCACCTCCAAAACATATTTTGAATTGGTAGTAGAGCATTTGACTACAGAGAGGTGAAATTGGCTCTAAAAGAATCTCCCACTTTGTAAGCTTTCGTAGATGACCCTTGAACGTGAGCTGATAGAGCTAAATTTGACGACACGTTGATGTTAATGTCATGTCCTGCTGTTGTAGCTGCAGTTAGATTTGAAACGTAAACATCAAATTTCAAGCATGTGCGTAGTGCACGAATATCTTCAGTCTCATTTGCTGAATTATGTGTTGATTCGTAACCGCGCAATGCAGTGTAATTCCTAGCTTTCTGACAAGTTTTGTCGGGAATCGAGTCATATTCTCGGATTCAGCTCACAAGAAATATTTTCCGACATAATTTGCCAGTTCACTTCAAAATACAATCTATTTTTAGTCGCATATTTCGACTTCTTTTTTCTGGGTCTACAAATTGTGGTTGTTCTTGTATGCTTTGTGGTGAGTCATTTTATGTACTAAAGTTGTGTTTGGTCCGCTTTGGTTTACAATGAAAAAAGTGCCTAATGTTCAACAATACATAACTCCTTTCCTTCATTTTTAGCGTAATTTTGACAGTGAGTTTGTCCTTCGCATCATTGTTTCCCGGCTTTGACGGTGCCGTATTATAAGCTCGTATTATAAGCTCGCTACGACATAGATGTATAGGCGAATCACAAATTAGACTTCGTCTTTATATGCTATGAGAATACAACAAGCTGCAGGTCTTACTTGCTCATGTCAATACATAAATATTCCAATGACAGTTTCATTGATAGCAGAGAATTGCTTGAATATTTTCTAAAAACACGTCTAAGTTACAACAATTTGTGGAACTGCTGAATCACTCCAAAAACATTCATAAAGGCAGCAACTCGCCCAAACCGAACATCCCGAAATTTTGACATGGAAGGTTGCTTGCACCCCAAACATGAGAACAAAGCAGGTCCGAGCGCATAGCATGCTTCCCTTGCCTAGAAAACTGCCCCTAAACCCGTTACGGCAGGCCGTTGCAATACGCATTGACGAGCTTGCGATTCTCCCTGACCCGTCAGAGAAGGCTTGCCGCAATGTTATAACTGCGACGGTCCCGCAACGATTCTGTCTCTCTAACCATGGCGGTACGTACGTGCTCCACTCGTCCAAATTCAAAATGGAGTGCCTTGGGAAATTGCGGTTTTTGCCATTTTCGCGATTTTCAAGGTGGATTTTCGGAATCAGCGCCTCGAATTACCCCAGGTAAACAAAAAACTTTTAAGTCGAGAATTTGCCAAGCCGCTGCTTTTAATGTCACATACAGTGTAGGGCGTGTACTCTCATCAGTGATTTGCTTAGAATGAAGAATACAAGCTACTGTACGTTCCAAAATCAATTGTGAATCCGTACCGTATTACTATAATGACGAAGAAATTCTTGGTACGCTCTATAATGTTTATCTAACGCAATAACCCTTGAGATACGATACCTGTAGAGCTGTGAGAAAACTTGATGCAAAGAGTTCATAACACTCATTACATTTGTTGAAACGAATGTAATTGCAGACTTTTTGTGACTTCTTAGGAAAAAGTCAAAAGATAAAACATAGAATGTATGATAGAGTCTGTATTTCTGCTTTCGATTTTGTGCGCTTTTAGGCAGTATCAATAATGCTAGTTTATAACTCATCGGCCTATCGAAGTCGTCATGATTCTATGTTGCAATTAGCAGACCGATATCAGCTGGATGAAAATGTTCGAGTTGCCAAATATCTTATGCCTGTCGCAGTCAATGAAGTGTTGGTAAAGGTACATTAAACTTCAAGTTGATTGATTTGTGGTTGTTTGTAATTGGGGATTTGTTTGCAGTTTGTCTATATATCACTACTTGCCTACTCAGTATTCTTCACAGACATCCCGCTAGGTCACGATACTACACATCTGAGCCATGCTTACGATTTAGTAAGTTGCAAACTTGTGTGTGAAAAGAATGACTTCAAATTGCTTTGAGTTTCAGTTGTTCGCGTATCAACGCATGTTCTTCGGATTAGCCCTAACATTGCGTAGCGACAAGTTTGGTCGATACAAGCAACGGGAAAAAAGGAGAGTTGCTGCTATGATGGACGATCGAGTGGCAGCATCGTCGAGCTATTTTACTGATCTCAAAACAATGTGGGCATAATCGATAATGAAGATATTTAATTGCCGCGTTCTTCCCTTATTGTATGTAAGCCAGAACTTAGCTTCGACCACAACCTTGCTCAAATACTGCCTTTGAAGTTCGCCAGAAAAACAAAGCCGATTTTGCATAATTAGTTGTTTACTGAGCTTGGTAAGCTTATTGCTTTGCGCAACAAGATAAAAAGGTTTATTTTGAGTTGTCACTTTTTCGCTGCCCATCTCCTACCGTATAATCACGGTGGAGAAGGGCAGCCATATGGTACTGATCTATAACAATACATTTCCTCATTAATTGACCTGGTCAAAACTATGTTGGAACTTCACTTAATCTTCTGTACCGTACAGGTTCTTAACAATGATATTCTTTATTGCTTGACGTTTTGATTACATACCGTCTTCAGAGGCCTGAAAAGCTTGATCACGTTGATATTACTTCACCTGCTGACAAGCCCTCCTCCCATCTGCGTACAGTATAGGCCGTCTAAGTACAGATCAGCTATCTCATAGTTCGCATAACGCAAGATACGGCAGTAGATCACTTGTAATAGACAGCTTTTCATTCTTGCCGTTCATTTTCGGATTCCGGGCAAGTAAGTATATAAGACGCCTCTAGAGCCTTTCGAGCAGAGATTTGATCTTCGAAGGCTAATACTTTGCACTTATTTCCAAATCATCACCGCTATGTTCTGCCTTCCTGTGTTTACCTAGTGGCTATTATGCTCTTACTAGCTAGGTGTTCAATTATCCTTACGCTTAGTGGCCGAACGGGTTCACTGATATAAACGGAGGAGCAGCTCGTACATTCAATTAGTAAAGGACGCCAGCTTTTGCGCAGTCACCGGGTCTTCCGTAAGGGCACACCACGCAATCTCGTGTAGTAGAAGTTCTGTCGTAAATCTGTCGCGCACCAGCTGTTTCTTTAAGTTATCTCGTGGAATATTCACCAAAATAACGTCCTTTTGCAGCTGCTTGTACTAGACTTTTTTTGATTTTGGCAGTAACCCTTTCGAAGATGAAAGGTAAGCACAGAGTAATCTGTTGATACTCTCTTCACTTGTTTTGTCGTGACTCTTTTTGGGCGTTTGAAATGCATCGTATATCTACTCGAATTTATTATTTTAGCCGCAATTTATGTGCTGTAGATATATTGACGACTAGCTGGCTTACCCGGCTCCGCCCGGCTTTGTCAAAAACGATAAAGGTCCCTTTCCTATCGCTGTACAACCTTTCAATGTGCACACTTCTACATGCAAATTCCCATTTGTTAGTAATCAGATGCTCACCTATCTCCCTCATCAACCCCAGCCCCGTGGCTCAAACTTTGCAAAAAAATCAATAAAATCGAAAAAAGTATGGGTAATTCTAAAAACTAATGGCGCTATCTGGCTATCCGGGCCCCAAAATGTTTTTGTGACGGATCCTGTTCAAACTCGGTATATGGGGCTTATATGAGCCGCTGATGACAAAAACCATAGTCATTTCGCGTGGCAGCGGGTAAAAATCATGAACCTACCTGAAACCTTGGCAGGGAATTACCTAAAATGCTGTTTTAAGATTATCATGCTCAATCCCCACGATAAAGGCAATTGGTGTGGTATAAAAGTTTCCCACGACCGTAAAGCTTTCCTTATAGGACCACTACCGCGCGCGATACCCTTCGGCGGCTTTTGCCTAAGCAAAAACAGGGAGGGAGATTTGACGCTCGCGTTACGCGTTGGGACAGGTTATCAGGATGGAGCTGAAGACCGCCATGCAAAACAACCGTTTCTCCATTTCGTGAATATTTGGGATCTAAATTGGCCCGCAAGCGAAAAATGTCCGTTCAAACCCTGCAACTCACCATAACTTTATAGTCGTCCTCACCCCACTGGTCGGTCAGTGGACAGATTTGAATTCGAGCAAGAGCAGGCCAGTGGCGGCAGAGCGCGAAACCTGGACCCTCAGTTCAGGTTTTGCGCATGTTTTTTATGGGTTTTTCACTGCAGTTGTTTGTTAATCCTCATGTTATAAGTGTGTTCGTTTTCAAAATACTATTTTATTGTTGTCGAGCATTGTTTTGACTGCTATGCTGACTGCTTTAAGTATGAATACAAGTAATTACAGGAACAATACAGATGTAAAACTTCTTCTAATCTTTCTCTTTTGTTAGTAACACGTGCAGAAGTGTTGCTTAGTGATCAGTGGCACAAAAAGTTGCCATCTGCATCGTTTCTAGAAGCTTATATGAAATCACCTGAACAAAAACCGAGCATAACTGCGCGATACAACACTCAACAATAACAAAACGCAAATTTGGCTAGAAACAATGGCATAGTACATAAACTAACAAGCAACGGCACAAAAAACCAAAAAGAAATATGCGTAGAATTGAACTGAGGGCTCGGGTGCCGCGCTCAGCGGCGACCGGCCTGATCCAGTTTGAATTCGAATTCGTCCACTGAACCGACTAGCGGGGTGAGGACGACTATACAATAGTGCGTTATGACAGCGAGCAAGCATCATATTCATAAGCAGTATGCTCATACCTTCGATACATAGAGCTACGTACTCTGGTAACCTTCACTTTGAGTGTCATGAGAGGATACAACCTTCACCTGGAGAGGAATACAGATTTCATCCGGGGCGAAGCCCGGATATTATGATATAACTAATGACCTATGTAAGGATGAATGTGAATGAGGCAAATATAGTAGTGACATCCAGAAAAAGCTCAAAAAACCGAAGGATCGCGTTTTTATGCCCTTTTTTTGCTGAAAAGAAGGTTTTTCTTCAAAAAATCAGTTGGAAATTAGGATGAAACTTATCAATTAACCTTTCTGTAGACTGCGATTGAGCGTTGGAGGTTCATGAAAGCCGCTGGAATTCAATAAAACGAGAAACTGCGCTGAAATCTTGCGCAGAGAGTCGCCACATAAATGCTGGTCTATCTCGTTATGGAGTGATTTTCAAGACCTGCGACGTTGTCAGTGCTCCTGGCCGTCTCATGAGGATCACAACGATATATAATATTATAGGGTTTTGTTATGACCCCGCGGAGATCAATGACCAGAGCCAAATGCCCCGCCGGCTCTGGTCTGTCTCCGCTGCTCGTCTGCGTCTCCGCGCGCTGCGCGCTACCTCGCTACCCCAAACGCGGGGCGCGGGGCATTTGGCTCTGGTACCCTTTTCTTCGCTGTTTCGAACCCAATTTTAGCAAGCTATATATCATTTTGAAGCTCTTGATCTCTATTTTCACGCTGACAACGTCGCAAGACTCCTTTTTATGATTTAAACGAGAAATCCGGCAAAAACCTTGTTTTCGAAAATCTCTCGTTTTTCTCCTAGTTTAACTCTTTTCACGCAGTTTTTTTGTGTAGTCGATAGGTCTTGTTTCTGTCTATAATGTAGACAACGTCGCCGAGCTTATTTCTCTGCTTATGCCGGTTTTTTTTGTGAAAATTATAAAAAATGCGTTTTTCTTTACCTTATTCTTTTTCAGTGGTTTCGCAACGAATTTTCTCCAGCTTGGACGATACTTGCTCAGAATGATGAGCGGAAGAATCCAGACAACGTCGCAGGGTACAAGAGGGACGGCGCGAGGGTAAAAATTCAAAGGACGCATCAAAAATCAAAACCCCGCGTTGCGAATTGCTGGTCTTGAAGCGAAAACTTGCACTTTAAAAAGCCGCCAAACGAAAGATTTCAAACCTTATTGCAGCATTTTTATCTGGTTTTCAGCAGTTTCTCTTGCTTTTTATATCTATTTTAAGTCATTTTTTCTTCTCTGATCTTCTTCAACAACCTTCACTATTTATGACGTCAGATGTTCAAACAACCTTCACTTTTGGCGCCCTGTCTCTAGACTATCGAAGGTATGAGTATGCTTGTGGACCGTTACAGGTAACGTCTTGAGCAAATCTGGAACTTCGACCCATCTACTGTACCCACCACCCTAGACGAAGTTCAAAGCAAATCTATGTTTTCGAATCCATACTGTATAACAACCATAACTCTATGAAAAGGTCTCAATATGTAGAGGAATATGAAATTCGTAATCAGCATGTCGAATAAGTTCTCTGGACCAAACTCCAGCCAATCCATGATTTTGACTTCCTACCGTACACCTATCGTAACCACACGGGGAGACGTTCTGCGAATAAAGTGTGATATCTGTAATCAGCATGTAAGATAGCCCTTATACACGAAGTCTGAGCAAGCTCTACGACAAAAAAAATTTGGGGCCCGGATAGCCCAATCGCGCCAAACTATTAGGTTGTAAAGAAAACTCCCGGGCACTTTTGAAAATTTCATTTTCTAACGCAGCGCTCGGCCAAACTTTGGCACAAAGTTTTTTATACTGTTCAATAGAGAAAAGCCTAAAATTTTCAATATGGCTTCTGGTTCATATGGATGCCAAGACGTGTCTGATCTGCACATCAAAAAAAAAAGAATCTTTTCAACCGTAAAAATTTCACAATTTTTCTTCTTACGGCCATTTTTTGTGCAGTTTAAAGAATTTCGTCCAAATCATGGGTGATCTGATTGAGAAGTCTGTTAACTTCTGACCCGCAGCTGCACTCGGATTTTGAAATTTGAGCTCAGAAATTACAAGCTGTCAAACTTGCCTCTGACTGCAACTCTTTTCGCAGCTGGCGTCGCTTCTGCGGGGATCGTCACGCCTGGATGATGGGTCCAAAAGATGTGTAAGGCATTACACCAACAATGTTCGCAGTAATCAAAGATTTGGTTCACCTTATGCAGAACAACAAGACTTCAAAGACACATACTCAAAAAAAAGGTGCATTTTACACATACTCGAAAAATGGTGCATTTTAAGGGGCAAAAAAAGGTCGATTTATCAAACTTTTTGGAAAAAAAATTTTTTGCAGGTGGTTTTGCGAAAACATGAATGGTCCCCATAACAGCCGCAGCAGACCTAAATACTACAGCATCTGGTCTCTCCAGCTCTCATCATGCCTGAGCTAATCCTGCACAGGTAGCCCACTTTTCACGACGACCTTTCTTCCTTCTGCGCGTGCTGGTGGACCGCAGTGAGGTGGTAAAAAGCCAACGAGACAAATTTATGTTGAGAACAAAATTGTCTTTGCAG